TACGTACAGCTTTTCTGAACAACAGTTACTGACACACCATAGTTGCAGTGACTGAAAATGTTTTTAGTACTTTGCTTCTCCACAACTGTGGAATGCAGTCTTTAAAGTTGGAACATGAGATGGGGATGTGTCTTTTCCTGTGAACACCACCTGTCATGTGCATCACGGTGGAGAAGTAGGTTGAGAACTACTCCATATTATACAGTAAAAACCTAACAAGCTAAAATAGTGGAAACAAGTGTGTGTGTGTGTTTTGTTTTCTCTGTGTTGTTTTTTGTTTGTTTGTTTTGGGTTTTTAAAAAAATATTATTTCATAAAATTGTATTTGGGTGTAGTAAAGAATCCATGGCTTATTTGTGGAAGTTATTATAACTGGTTTAGTCTTACAGAATCCATCCATGATATACATTGACCAGTTTTGCATTAAAGGGTATCTCTAACATTGATTTAGAAAAATTTTTAGTCACTTCATCATAAAATAAGTGATATTTCTGATTGTGTAATAAAGATAATCTTTGTTTACCAATGAGTAAATAATTTTCTATTCTTCTGTTAATTCCTTATTTTAATAATATGTTCTTTTCATATTTCTCTTGTCTTTGGGGGGAAAAATCTATTCTTACATCTGAGAATTAATGATTCATTCATTTCTTTTGAGTTTATAAGTCTTAAAAAGTTATAGTCCAAAATCAGTGCTTATAACAAAGAGATATCTTAATAGAGAAAAATTATTCTAAGCCAATTCATGAACTTTAGAATGATATACATTAAAATAACTGAGGAATGAATTGTCAGTCAAAGAGTGTTAAAATCAGTATCAGCAACAGGTGGAAGCATAAGATGTGGCCATTGTTTATAGTAACTAAAAGAGTTTTGCTTTTCTTTAGACTTGAGGTAGTTTCTGTTTTTTTTGTTTGTTTGTTTGTTTGTTTTATTAATAGACCTTAGTTTTTAGACTAGTTCTTCAGCTTACAGAAAAATTAAGCAGAAAGCACAGGGAGTATCTTGCCTACCTAGTCTTCCCTATTATTCATATCTTGTGTTAGTGTAGTACATTTGTTATGATTGATGAACAAATATCATACCTTATTAGTAACTGAAGTCCGTTCTTTATTTTATTTTTTTTAAAGATTTTATTTATTTATTTGACAGACAGAGATCACAAGTAGGCAGAGAGACAGGCAGAGAGAGAGGGGAGAAGCAGGCTCCCTGCTGAGCAGAGAGCCTGATGTGGGGCTCGATCCTAGGACCCTGAGATCATGATCTGAGCCGAAGGCAGAGGCTTAACCCACTGACCCACCCAGGCGCCCCTGAAGTCCATACTTTAAGTTAGCATTCACTCTGTGTTGTACAGTTCTGTAGGCTTCAACAGATGCATAATGTCATGGATCCACAGTTACAGTCTAGAGCAGTATAATCCAGGTTAGTGTCACTGCCCAGAAAATCTCCTGCATTCCACCTATTCATTACTCCCCCACGTCTCCTTGGGAGCTCCTTGGCCTCCACTCATGTTTTAACTGTTTCCATGGTTTTGTTTCTTCCAGAATGTCATATAGTTGGAATCAAACAGTATGTAGCCTTTTCATATTGGCTTCTTGGCAATATATGTTGAATGTTCCTCCATGTTTTTTCATGGCTTGATAGCTCATGTCTTTTACTGCTGAATAGTATTCCATTGTATGGATGTACCACAGTTTATATATCCATTCACCTATTGAAGGACATCTTGGTTCCTTCCATTTTTTGGTAATTATGAACAAACATTCATGTGTAGGTTTCTATGTCAACATGATTTCAACTCCTTTGGGTGAATATCTAGGAGTGCAATTGCTGGATCATATGGTAAGCGTATGTGTAGCTTTGTAAGAAACTTCCAATCTGTCTTCCAAAGTGGCTATACCATTTTGCATTCTCACTGGCAATGAATAAGAGTTGCCATTGCTCCACGTTTCTGTCAACATTTGGCATTGTCAGTATGTTGGATTTTAGCCATTCTAATGGGTGTGTAGCAGTATATCATTGTTTAAATTTGCAATTCCCTAATGAAAAATGATGTTGAGTATCTTTTTATTTGCATTGTTGTTTGCCATCTGATTATCTTCTTTGAGGAGGTATTTCTTCAGCTTTTTTGCCCAGTTATTAATTTAGCTATTTGTTTTCTTAATGTTGAGTGTTAAGTGTTCCTTATTATTCTAGATACAAGTCCTTTATCAGATACGTGTATCACAATATTTTCTCCCAGTCTGTGACCTGCCTTTTCATTCTGTTAACAATGTCTTTCACAAAGTGAAATATAGTTTCACTTTTTTTCAGGTTCGAGGTAGTTTTATTTTTTCATCATTAGATCACTTGTTAGAACAATTCAAAGTACAACTTAGTCTTGAGTTATTCATTTACCTCATTTCTGAAAAGTTAAGGTTTTTTAAAAAGATTTTATTTATTTATTTGGGTGGGGAGAATAAGCAAGGAGGAGGCGCAGAGGGAGAGGGAGAAGCAGACTCCTCACAGAACAGGGAGCCTGATCCAGGGCTCGATCCCAGGACACTGAGATCATGACCTCAGCAGCCACTTAACCAACTGAGCCACTCAGGTGGCCCTAAAAATTTAAGTTTAAATCAGACTTTCAATAGTCCATAATGTTTGTTGATTTTGTAAATATTTTAATGATATATATGGATAAAATATTTACATATTGCCTTTATCTCTTCAACTATTTTGAAATTATTTTGAAACTTCCAATAGAAGCAATAAAAGTCACAACATCATATAATTAAGTTTTCTGTAATCCCAGAGTAAATCCTATAGCACTTTTTTAAATGTATGAATTTCAAACTTCCTGGAGGCACCAAAATTTTCATAAGAGGAAAAAGAAGAGTTTTCTTCATTGTTTGTTTATTGACCTATAACACCAGAATTTAAAGTATATCCCTACCCTTCAAATTAACCTAAGAGAATGATTGATGTGGGGAAGACACACGAGTAGAACAGGTGAATATTCTAGCTGACCACTCCATCAATCCCATCAAGTTTCAGATGAGCAAATAAAAATCTAGGAAATAAAGGTATTTATCCTTGGTCACTTAGCTTGTTAATGACAAAGTTAGGACCACATATATATCATTTTAAATTTCAGTTCAGTGTCCTTTCCACTCTCCAAATTGCCTACTGTATCCTTTTTCCCCAATAGAGACAAAATGAATTTATTAACTTAATTGTATGAAAGATCACACAGAAAGAATCAGTAACTCTACAGTTTGAGTTAAGGAAAGAGGTTAGAACTAACTCCTCATTATTTATGAGGAACAATAAGAAAATACACATTTTATTGTTAGATAACAGTATTTTATGAATTCCAAATATTTTAATATATTTTATTTAGCCTAGAATAAGTTTAGAATTTATTAATATTAGGTGTTTTGTGGCAACAGGGCTGGAAATTTATATACCATAGACTCTGAGTATATACCATGAAAAAGTTGAACACAGATTCTATGGTCTAAAAAGGTAGTCAATAAACTAAAAATGTGTGCCCCAATCTTGAGATCAATTTCTAGAACACAGATGTATTTGAATGCTGAAAATTATTCTAACCAGAAAAACTCCCTGTCATGGTCAGTAGTAAAATGTATATTTCCCAGTACTGCTATGATGAATAAGATTTCCATGTAAGATAGGAAATATAACACCAGAAAAAAAATCCTTCTTCAAATTTCAAGATAGTATGCCATTTTTAAAAAAGATTTTATTTATTTATTTGATAGAAAGCGAGAGAGAGAGCACAAGCAGGGGGAATGGCCGAGGAAGAGGGTGAAGCTCCCACTGAGCAGGGAGCCCGACATGGGGCTGGACACAGGGCTTCGTTCCAGGACCCTGGGATCATGACCTGAGCCCAAGGCAGATGCTTAACTAACTGAGCCACCCAGGCACCCCAATATTATGCCATCTTTAAGAAAGTTTGCTTGGGGACGCTTAAGTGGCTCAGTCAGTTAAGCGACTGCCTTCCGTTCTGGTCATGATGCTAGGATCCTGGGATTGAGTACTGCATCAGGCTCCTTGCTCAGCGGGGAGCCTACTTCTCCCTCCACCTGCCGTCCCCCTGCCTGTGCTTTCTCTCTCTCTCTCTCTGACAAATACATATATAAAATCTTGAAAAAGAGAGAGAGAGAGAGAGAGAGAGAGAGAGAAAGTTTATTTAACTCTTTCCTGTGTTTCTCATCCAGAAAATTTCCCCACATAATTGTAACTTCCCAAAGAGCCATAACATTATCTTTGATCGCTTAGGCCTATGACACTGTAGGTGTCTAATAAATGATTGCTGAGTGATTGAGAGAAAATCGTTAAATATTACTGAAAATTGCAACTAACGAATGCCAAAGTTTCCCTAGTTTATCGTTTGTAGATGCAATATCATTTGTAGATGTAACTATCAGATTTCTTTTCTCCTTTAGGTTTTACCATCTTCTCAGAAGATGATACAAATTTAAGAAGCTGGTTGTCTTAAAGCATAATAGGGAAGGTCCTTGTTATATGTATCACATCATAATAGGAAAGGTACATCAATGTAAAACACATTTGTGGTTATTATAGTTTAAAGCTCTCATTTTCATTTATTATTTCAAAATTGATAGCCACATTATGTATTTTTATGTTGGTAAGCTAACAAAGTGACCTTAAACGTAATTAAATATAGAACATATTTTAAGGTTTTGAGTTTTCCAAGGAAAAATTCCTCTGTTCCACCCTTGCCAGTATTCATTTCAATGTTTACAAAAATTTGGTCCAAAGTAAAATAGCCTCACGTTGTTTAGACAGGAGAAATAATGCAGTGCAAACAAAGAAGAAATGTTTGATGTGTAAGGAAATGTCAAGAATCCCTTGTCAGAATGAATGTCATTCTATGATTTCAGGGTCTAAGCACCTCTGGAAGTGAGGTTAACAAGGTAGAATCCCAGGACCTTTTGGGGCAACAGCGGAGAGGAGCAAACCAATACCTCAAGAACATGAGCCTCAAGTCCCCAGCGTCTGCTCTTCCCTTTGAGAGCAAAGGCAGCCATATCATGGCTAGAAATGGAAGCTGTTTTCTAGTCCGGCACACCCCTCACCCCAGAAGGGTCTGCCACATCAAAGGTAAGGGAACTCAAGAACCTAGAATCTCTCTGTCCCTGCATTTGGGCTACTTGATGATTCTGGTGGGTAAACACAGGGATACTACTCAGAATACTTATCTAATGGTGAGGCACGGGTATGGACCATAGAGACCAGAGGCCAGACTTGAGGTTAGAGCAGAGCCTGCAAGCATCCCCTGTGCCAGGCATTAACCCTGGGATTTCCTGACTGCTAGGAAAGGGACCTGGAGGGGGGCCAAAGAGCTCACAGCAACAACTGACCAATTGGTATAAAAGTATTCAATATTTTAACAAACTGCATATTTGTGCTAGCATTTACAGGCTAAATATTAGCCCTAGAGAAGCATACATTTTACCCTCTAGCCCTTTTTCCCTTTCTGTTACTTTTTCTCCTTTTTTCTCTTCTTTCTCCCCTTTCTCCCTCCCTCCTTCCATCTCTCTTTCCCTCCATCTTTGCCTCATGTCTTCTCTTCCCCTTTTCTTCTTTTCTCTTCTCTTCTCTTCTTTTCTTTCTTCTTTCTTTCCTTCTTTCTCTCTCTTTTTCTTTCTTTCTTTTAAAATTTAGTTTCTGTAACATCATATACTGCTAATTGTCTCCCCTATCTCTCTGACTGCTCCTTCCCAGAGTTGTTTTTTTTTCCCTGATTCTGTAGGAAATGTTGGAGTCCCTCACACCCCAGTCCTTAGCCATTTTCTCTCTTTAATCTATACCGTGACCCTACTACAATTTACTCATTCACAAGTTTCAAAAACTGTATAGACCAAGTGCTTTCAAATGGGTGTCTTAGACTCAGACTACTCTTCTAAAATTGAGACCTCCATATTCAGTTGCCTGCTTGACTTACATGTGAGGCAATGGATGCTTCATGGGCACCTTGAATTTGGCTCTTTGAAACAGAGCCCTGGATCTTCCTTCAAAAGTGTATTTCTCCAACTAGTCTACCTGAACTAGTAAATGGTACCATACATTTTGGGCCTTTCTTGAACTCCTTCCTCTCCTTCCTTTCCTCTTGCAATACTTAACTTGATCTTGTCACTTTCTTTTCTAAATATTTTGCAAATTAAGCTACTTCTCTCCATGGCCACTGTCACAGCTCCTTTCTAGGCCATTATTATCTCTTGGTCTGACTGCTACTTTTGTAATTTGTAGCCTCCTAACTGCCCTATTTCCACCCCTGCCCTCATCCTATCCACTCTCCACAGAATAAGATCATATTAAAATGTAAATTTAACTGTTTCAATGCACTACTCAAAACCCTTCAGAGATTTCCCAGGTATCTAAGATAACGTTTATCTTGATGTAGACTAAAACGTTCACTATGTTGTGGCCTCTGCCTCTTATGACTCATCTCCTATCAATAGCCACCCACCCACCCATTTTCATTATACGTATGCCATACTGCACTTGCCTAAGTTCCTTGAACGTATAATAAGAACTTTCCCACCTCTGGATTTTCACTCATACTATTTCCTCTCACCAAAAAATCCCCTCATTATTTGCTTTTTCTCGTTTCTCAGGTTTTGGTTTAAGTGTAACTTAAAAAAGACTTCTAGACTCCACATCCTCAATCTAAATTCACTTTCTTTATGGTATATTCTCATAGTACTCCATCGGGGCAATTGTCTTAGATCAGGTTCTCTGGAAACAGACTCTGGGATGGAGATTTGTGTGAAGGAGGTTTATCGGGAACTGCTCTTAGGAACAACACGTATAGGAGGCCAGGGAAGCAGGACAGGACAGCGGTAATGTAAATAAAAGAAGCCTCAGTCAGTCCCATAAGGAGCCATGGACAGCTCTGTAGAGGTGTCGCAGCTTAAAGCAAGGGGGTCAGGCCTTTGTAATTGTCCATCAACCACTTACTGGTCAAGTTTCCATCGTGCAAGGGAGTCAGGCCTTCGTAACCCCCATCAACCACTTATTGGTCATGGTCTCATCATGGTCTCATCACGCATGAAAGCAGTCTTCAGCTGAGAGCAGTTCCCAGAGAGGGACTCAGCATGAGCCATCAGTCGCTGACACATGTCAGGTGGACGGATAAGTGTGCTAGTCCTGAAGGCATGGTTTGTGTAGTGCATTCCCACATCTACTACAGCAACTATTGCAGCTTATGACTAAATATTTTTATTTTATTATTATCAAGCATCTTCCACAAATTTGTGAGCTCCTTGAAAGCTGAAGATGTGTCTGTTTTGCTCACCACTTATTTTCAGTTTCCTAGAGTGGCTGTGATGTGGGAGGTACTAGATAATTCTTGTGGAAGGAAAGAAGGAAGCTTAAATTACACTCAGATAAAAATGTAGAGCCTCTGACAGATTTTAAGGAGGGTTCATGTTCTACCTCAGCTATCTAGTTGTGTGTCCTTGAGCAAGTGATTTCATTCTTTAAAAAACTCATTCTAGCTGTAATGTAGAAAGTGGAAGGGGAACAGTGGCCTTAGAAGAGTTTAAGAGATCAGTTGAAAGGCTGACCCAGTCATCCAAGTGAGAGAGATGAAGGATGGGCCAGGGCAGACAGCAGGGCAGAGAAATGAAGACTGAACTTTGGGTTAGAGCAAGAGAAAATCCCAGATGAGCAGTATAGGGAAAGCCATCACAGGGTTATGAGATAAAATAAGATTGAATGAGAATGGCTGGGTGAACACCAAAACCAAATTCCTAAGGAAGATCAGAAAAATGAAGGTCAGGAGAGAGCAAACAGATATTACAATAAAGAAGTCATAGATGGCTTGGAATCTGTTGTCTTGGCAAAATCTGACAATACAGGTTTTTAAAACCCACATGAGAAAAACGTTGCATTTCATTAGAACTTTTTTTCTCTATGAGGGCAAATATTACCAAATTGAGTGTAATATTTTTTTCTGACTTCCAAATACTTGAAAGTACTTGATATATAACTCCTGTATATGTAATTCACATTCTGCCTTGAATTATCTTATACCTATAATACAGTATAAAACTGTTGGCAGGCAAAGGGTTGACTTTTATGTCTTCAACCCCCCTGCAATGCCTACCACAAAGCCTTGCTTATAGTACTGTATGTCCACATATAAATATACGTTCAATTGAATAGAAAATTTTCTTTGGAAATCTTTCAAGGAAATCCATGCTAATTCTAGAAAGCCTAGTAACTGGAATTGCATGAGGAAGAGAAGAGCCGCAACCTGCTCTATTTTGACTGTTAACAGATATGTAGTTTGAACCCACACTCAGCACAAGGATACTACAACTCGTTTCACTAGTTTCCCCCAAAGATAATTCTTATGGTCCATTTTTACCAGCATTCAAGTGTTGAAGTCTGTGAGACCTAATGCTGTTGTAGTAGATAAATCCTTAAAAAATTAAATCATCAGTAAGTTTGTTCGTTCTAAGAAATGTTAATTTAAAGTCTCTATTTGTGATACATATATGCTCTTTGTTAGCAACACAACATAAGCCAGTTTCTGCTCACAATGTACTTGGAGGAGATAGGAATAATAGGAAATAATTATAATACATTGTGTTATGGGCAATGATAGAAGTATGCTGGAAGTTCAGATGTAATACACAGATAGGGAAACCACTGGAGGAGTGTCAAGAATGCATTTCACAGAGGTTTATACTGCAAGATACATGATAAAAATTAAGAAGAAACAATTAGCGGGACTTGGGCATTCACTGGATTTAAGGATGGAATAAAAAGTCTAGAATTATTATCAGTTTTATTTTAACTTGGTTAACTGGGTGAATAGTGAACCAACTATTAATCTTGAGCATATAGGATGAAGGACATATGTCAGAGGTAAGATTCAAAGCTTCATTTCAGACAACCTTGTTGTACTTGATATGCCAATGGAACGTTCAGGAGTAAATGACCAAGTAGAGAAATGGATAGAAGGACTTGGAGGCTAAGGGTTAGATGAGGGTAAAGTAGATGTGAAAAGCAGGAGCATTTAGATTAAAACAGTAATGTTATCGCCCAAGAAAGAAATCCCAACCGAACTCTGAAAAACACAGGGATGGATAGACACAGAAAATCCAGAGAAAGAGACTGAAAACAAATAGCAACGATGCTGGGATAGGAAAAATCTCTGAAAACAGAGAGAAATGGTTTTAAATTACATTTAGTTGGCTGAAGTTTTTAATCTGTATTCAGAAGAGTCCTAGAGATCTGGGCAAGAGACAAAGATGGGGTAAAATGTGTTTGAACAAAGGGCACAATAGCCAAAGAAATTTGAGTACCCCTACTTCATGGCAAAAAGCATTATATTTAGTCATGGAATTAAATGAGGCTTTTTGGAACTTTTGCTAAAGCCATGTTTTGAGATCATTTATGCATGACTTGCTAAGACGTAATTTAGAAACTAGCCCTATGATGGTAGCCTACCTCTAGGCTTTTTTGCTTTAGAGAAAACTTGATAGAAAGGAGAGAGAGTGAAGATTTCTTCGAAAAGAGTCACTGGGGTGCTGTGTCCTTCCCTTCCCCTCCATGAAGAGCAGCAGTCGTTGCCTTCACCAAACATGCAGGCCTTTCCAGGGAATCATTTATGGAGAATGTCCAGAGAGGACACAGGTCTCACAGGCTAGCTCGCTCCTTGCCCATGCTGTTCCTGGTCTGCCCTAGCCTGTTTCTGTAGTGGATCAGACTACACTGAACTTGTTCTGTCTCTTCTGTGTTATGGAGGACACAGAGAATGGTGTCTGAGTCTCCTCTAAAATCTCAAGACAAGAGCTGCCTGGAGCTGGCTGAAGCTCACTGTGTCAGTGGCACAGACTAGGATTGAGTTGCTCTCCCACAGAAGACCAGGCAAAGAGTGTTGTTTCCTGTGGGCTAGAGTGGACACTCGGAGGAAGCTGGTCGAGAACTGTCTTGCAAGGACCCAGCCCAAGAGGACTAACTCATTGGATAACTCCAGCCCAAAGAGGCTGGTGAAGTTTCACCTGGGGCAAAGGTGGGAAGGAAGAGATGTTAGCAATTATCTGGTAGATACATTATCCATGACAATGAACAGTGTCAGAGATTTCCTCAGCCAGGGGTCTCCAAAGAACCCATAAAAATACCTCATGAGAGAAAGAGCCATCATTTCTTCTCTGCCTCACAGATCTGTTTTCACAGATGCCTCAACACTAAATTAAAACCACTAAGCAAGCAGGACTTTGTGTCCCCTTCACTATTCCTTCCTCCTCCACCCCAACTCCAGAGGAGCTGACAGCAGTGAGTGGGGAAGGAAGAGTGGAAGAGCAGGGGGGAGGAAAAACAGACCATACCCCCATTCCCCTGCTGGTCTGTAGAGGCTGGATCATGTTTGGCCTGGAGAGGAGGGTGTGATGTGGAGTAGTAATATTTTTATAGCACTTGCTATCCTGATAGTAAGTATTTGGCATTCTTGATGGAAAGTTTTATGCACAATAAAGATTAATGCAGTTACTTGTTATTTTAAAGTAAACTTTAAAATTTAACTTTAAAATTTAAACTTCAACTTATATTTAAATATTTAAAATTTTAAATTTTAAACTTAAATTTACCTTATAAATTTTATTATTTTGCTTATACATCTAGAAAATTTTAACAATCACTTCAAGGGGATCATTGATTAATATTTAGTCCCATTCGTAAACTTAGTAAAAGAATACCTTTAAAGGTTTAAATGTCAATTACGCATTAAGTAGACTTGATTTTTTTAAATATTTCACATCTTTATCGTGTGAATTCTCACTAAGCTATAAATAACTCCTATAAATTAAATAAATTAAGCATAAATATAGACAAATACATTATTTAAAACACTTCTATACTGTTTACCAACTTAATGATATTCTCGTGCTTTTCTGCTTAATATTATATACATTTTAAAAACACATATGCAATGGTTTTTACTAAACTTAACCCACGAATAAGAATAGTATGTAGTTCTCACATTTTATAATTTCTATCTTTTATTTGAAACCTTCCCAATGTTAAAAGCACACCCATCAAGTAGGGAAACAGTTACCTTGGGCAAAAAAAAAAAGAAAAAAAGGAAAAAAAATTAGAGTTACTTTCGCATTAAACTGGGGTTGCATATCAATCAGAAAATTAGGCAGGAATGTGAACTTTGAATTTTCACCCAGCAGTCTCTGAAAGGCGAGACCTTTGGAATCCTGCAGAACAGAAATTTGATGTCCAGTAGGGGGAGCTGGTCCTTCCTGAGCCCCAGACTCCATTACCTAATTCTCCTGTATTTTGAGGAAGTTAATGAAATTCCCACTCATGTTGTCCTGATCTCCTTCACTGCTGGGTTGGGTTTCACATTTCCCCGACTACCTTTAAATCATTTAATACTGTCTCATTTGACTCTGGAGCCACTTTAATGACATTGCACTTTCTACATTTTTATGTAGTTCTTTCCTAACTCTGGGATAGATAGAATCTGAATTCTTTCATATTACTTATTACCATTTTTTAATTAAAGGAGATAACAGAGAAAATAGGGATTTCACCATTCATTTGTCTCCATGTTAATATCTTATTTCATTTGGTAAGTAATGTTTCACCATGCACCTGGGTCAATCATTATCTCAGGTGTTTAAGATAAAATGGTAAGATGTGATGTTATCTTCAAAAATTTTATTCTCATTTCTATTTGGAACCAGTTACTATCAGTAAAGTTCTAAGTATCAGACTAAATAAAAGGTTTATATTTGGTTGTGTTATTCATTCATTTGATAAATAATCATAGAGCATCAGCTTTGTGTGAGGCACTATTCTAGACACCGGGAATAGAGTGGCAAACAAAACAAAACAGACAAAATGCATGCTTTCATGAAGCTTACATTCGAGGGCAGCTCAGCCCAGCAATGTGCAAACAGATATGATATGTCACAAATGCTATGGGAAGAATAAAAGCACTCAAAGGGACAGTGTGAGGGGGTAAATTTCAGTCAGGGTTTCCAGCAAAGAACTTTTTGATGTCATTTGAGCAGATAAGACTGATAGTCCTAGAAGGAAATTGAGAAAAATGGGCAAGTATGAAAAACACTATTCAGAAGCTTCCTGTGCAACTTCTTGGAAACAAAGCAGACATCCATTCCTATCTCTCAAAACTTCTCAAGTGTTTAACATAGAGCAAAGTCCTGTATACCTTCATTTCCTAAGCTGTCTAGTATGTCATGACCATGGCATTGATACCAGGAAGAGGATCTGTCTATAATACAATAAATGACTCAAAGGCAAATAACTATTACAAGAGAGTGAAGGAGCCTAGAAAGCTTAGACATGAGGAAGGAGGTTCCTTTGTACCGTGTTTTCCTTCCTTCCGTCCACCACAATCTACCTCATCCTGCCTCCTATTCCGAGCTCCCGTTGCCGTTTAAACTTCTGCGAGGACAAAAACAGGGCCAATGTATGTCTTTTCAGAGGCCGTGTACTGAGACATTCTGGATGCTTCCAAACCCCTGAATGTGATATTCATGAAGAGGGCTAACAGAGTTCCTCAGTCATCCTCAAGACTTGGGAAATGAGAGGTCTGTCTGGGATAGAGGCAGATCTGTTGTACTTGACGGTTAACCCCGAGATCAAAGATGTGAGCCTGGTTCTCAAGGCTAAAAAGATGGTAGAACATTTTCTGGAAGCATGTATGGCAAACAAAATTTGCTACACTGACCTTCAAAGAATAGCCACCTGGCAATGGTTCATACAATTTATAGTCTGACATCTTGTGTACACTTAACAATATCTGGTTGGGAAATGGCTGATCATTTGAAGAAAATCTGCCCCAAACCTAATGTGGTTGTTTGGTCTGTTTATCCTTATCTAGGTTTGAATAACATTCCCATCTGTACCGTGAATGATGATGACAGCTCATTGGGAGCATTGTGGGGCGTTGGCCAGTTCAACCACTTGGAGAAGGACGAGATACCATTTGCCAAATGCGGTTATGCACCCAGCGCTGTAGCCCCGGAGAGCCCCGTCAGAGGAGTCTCGCCAGCCCCAAACAATGTCAAGGTGCCCCCAAGGCCTCATTCTGGTGAGCCCCTTGCAACTCATGACATCTTTCCTGAGGCCTCCTGCAAACTATGGGGGGGGGGTGCGGGGAGGGCAGGGAGGATAGTCTCTATGATTGTTAATATAGCTGCAGTGATTTTTAAGTAGTCATGAAATTTTCTCACTATGAAATAGGAAACTCATTATGAAAAGTTTTCACTCATTTAATCTCATTTCACACATTTAATCTCATTTAAACTCAGTAAAGTTAATACATATTATTGTCTTTATTATGTCCAGGACATATATGTGTGGTTCTTGTCTCTAATGCCAACAAAAGTACCTGAGAGATACTAAAAATGAATGTTTAGCCAACATGATTGGGGAAACTACTGCAACAAAAAGTCAGTCAGGGAAATGCAGTAGCAATGGAATTTCGTGCTTCCGTCTTCCCCCGCCAGGCAGTCAGCTCCTGAAGCTCCTGGCCCAGTGTTATTGCCTTCTGTGTTTCTGGTATTCTTGGTGTCTCCCCAGGTCCCAGCACAGTGTTTGATCTTTAGTAATCAATTAATTAATGTTTACTGAATTGAAACGAAAAGTATATGTTCTGTAATCAGCAGAACAAAGAGTTAATAATATTGTGTTTTTGGAAGTTACAAGAGGAGATTTAATATTTTTCATCACAAGGAAGAGTTGGTAAATTTTATGAGGGAATAGTTAACTACACTTAACTGTGATCATCATTTTGCATTATATACACATATCAGATCATTATGTTGTATGTCTTACACTAATATATTTAAAAAAATTATAGTATGGCAAAATCTAAAACGCTAGGTAAAACAGAAGGAATTCTGGGTGGTGGAAATTGTATCCAGTTCTCTTTCTCTGATTTTTTTTTTAAATATTTTATTTATTTATTTGACAGAGAGACAGCAAGAGAGGGAACATAAGCAGGGGAGTGGGAGAGGAAAGCAGGTTTTCCGCTGAGCAGGGAGCCCGATGCGGGGCTCAATTCCAGGACCCTGGGATCATGACCTGAGCTGAAGGCAGAGGCTTAACCCACTGAGCCACCCAGGCGCCCCCTTCTTTCTCTTATTACTGAAAGTTTCAGGGCACATGAAAATTATTTTGGTATAATGTGGGAAAATATATTATCCTTCAAAGGATAACCATAAGACGGACCATTAGTACTTACCATGTGATTCCAATCTAAGGTCTTCACACCTGTTAACTCATTTCATGCTTTCAAGAGTTCCTCTCCCTTACACACTAGCAACAAGGAATCAAAACGCCATATATGCCGCCACCTTTCTGGTGTTCCTTCTCATACCATAAAACCCAGAAATTTAACAGTTTGTAAGAGCCCCTTGATGGGAGTGAAGTGTCACCATCTGGTAAGATTTACATTTCAGATGTGGGCTCAGGTCTTTGTTTTGGCTGCTGTCTGCCCTCAGGCATGACTGGAGACAAGGGCACCCCCCTCTCTCCGCTATGATATTCCAGTGCTCAGATTCTGGAGTTATGGGTGTCTGTGGCAAAGTCACCAGATATGGTGGCTTTCTGACAATAGCAGTGACCCAGTGCCTAATCTTTAACCTCACAGATGCTGTGACAGCAACTGAAGTGTGAGGGGCATCCTGACTCCCCTTCCTCCAGATTGTGATAAAGGCTGTGCCCCCTGGGTGGCCCAGGGACAAGGTGCTGCTCTTGAAGTGATTTGTGACAGTCAACACCAGAGTTCACTGCTCCAGCCCTTCCAGTGAAATTGCAAACACCGAATTCTCTGTCTAATTTACAGTCTAGTTTAAAATAGAGTGGTTTCTGTTTCCCACTAGTGGACACGAACTTGATAGACTCACAGCCCATAACACCGTTCTTCCTACTTCCTCCCTGCTCTCTTCTGGAGAGAGGTAACTTTACAATATTTTTCTTTCTATAGCTAGGACTAATGAATTCAGTTACTTTTGGGAAATGCACCAAACGTTTTCATCTTTTAAGAAATTGTGTTAACTGTTTTTCCATAAAAAAGATAACATTGCTTGTGGAGAATATAACTTAAAATTAATGCAAAAGGGAATCAGGTAAACATTAAAATGGTTTTAGGGTGGTTTTGTAAGATGCATCTATGAAATGTGGGGGTAAGAGACTGATGAAATAAGAAATAAAATAAAAGATGAAATTATAACTCAGCACACATCTCCTTCTGGCCACAGGTCAAACAGCACACATATAATCTCTTTGATTAGAGAAGGTGTTGGTTATATGGACAGGAAACAGAGAAAAACATGTCATACTGAAATATGTACTTTTAAAAATTAGTTTACCCAGATCGAGAAAGCTCTTCCAGTCTTTCTTTGTACCATCTTCCTGGGCATTGAATTAGTTTTGTAAACATCAAGATCCTTTTATTATGTTATTGTAGTATAACTTTACCTGCAAGGTTTCCAATATTTATAAACATATCTCTGAGTTGACCTTATTTGAAATCCAGGTATACTCTCATTTATTTCAGCAACTGATGTCTGTGTCATGTGATAGAAGTTTTTTCAGTTTGATCTAAATATAATTTTCCTGCAATATCGTTTCAGAGCCCTGTAGAAAAATCAAGGAGTGCTTCAAAACTTCCAGTGAGAATCCCTTAGCAATTAAGAAGGTAAAGAAACAACTATTTACAATTATCTATTTAGTTCAATTTCTGTCATTTCCTCTCCTTTTCTTCACATAGCTTTCTGAAAAGGTACATTTCACAATATTTTTTACAGCTTTTTAAAACATTTTTTAATTTAAATTCAATTTAGTTAACATACACTGTATTTTTAGTTTCCCCGGTAGAGGTCAGTGATTCATCAGTTGCATGTAATACCCCGTGCTCATTCAGTCACGTGCCCTCCTTCATGCCCATCACCAGTTACTCCATTCCCCCACCCTCACCCCTCCAGCAACCCTCAGTTTGTTTCCTAGAGTCTCTTATGGTTTGCCTCATTCTGTTTTCATCTTATTTTATTTTTCCTTCGCTTCCCCTATGTTCATCCATTTTGTTCCTTAAATTCCACCTATGAGTAAAATCATATGACGTTTCTCTTTCTCTGACTTATTTTGCTTAGCATAATATCCTCTAGTTCCATCCATGTTGTTGTAAATTGACATAACATAATGCTGTATGTTAACTACTGGAATTTAAATAGAAACATTAAAAATGGTTTATTTAACTCAGCAGCATTATTTTAAAATTTACCCATGCTGTTATGTTAACCAATAACTCATTCCTTTTTATTGCTAAGTAGTATTCAGTTGTATCAGGGTATCCCACAATGGGTATCCCACAATTTGTGTACATGCTCACCCGTTAATGGACATTTAGCTTGTTTCCAATTTTTGCCAAAGCTGATATGAACATTTGTGTCCAAGTCTTTGTATGGGTATATATTTTCTTTTCTTTTGGTTAAATAGGTAGATGGGGAACAATTGGGTCTTATTATAGGTGTGGGTTTAAATTATTGAGAAATTGCCAAAGTGTTTTCCAAAGTGGTTGTATGATTTTATATTTCCGCCAACAGTTTACCGATTTCCTTTCCCCCACATCCTGCCAAAATTTAGGATGGTCAGTATTTTTAAATTTAGCCAATTTAGTGGGTGTGTTGTGGCATCTCACTGTGGTTTTAATTTGCATTTCCCTGATGACTAGTGAGGTTGATCTCTCATCATGTTCTTACTTGCCATCCATATATCTTCTTTTGAGAAATGTGTATTCAAATATTTGCTCATTTTGTAAATTGGGTTGTGGGTCTTTTATTATGAAGTTGTAAAGGTTCTTTATATATTCTAGATAAAAATTATTTTGTCACATATACATCTTGCAAATTTTTTTTCCAGTCTGAGGCTTACCTTTGACTTTTGAAGTACAGTGACTTTTGAAGAACCAAAATTTATAACTTTGATGAAGTCCAAATTTAAAATTTTTCTATCATAGTTTCAGGTCCACATGATGTTTGCCTCTCTATTGTGCCTTACTGTAAAGGCTAACCTCTAGTTCAATGTTGAATAGAAGTGATGAGAGCAGACACTGTTGCCTCACACCTAATTATAGGGGTAAACCTTATACTTTCATCATTGAATGTGATGTCAGTTTTTTTTTTTTTAAGATTTTATTTATTTGACAGACAGAGATCACAAGTAGGCAGAGAGGCAAACAGAGAGAGAGGAAGAAGCAGGCTCCCTGCTGAGCAGAGAGACCTCTATGCAGGGCTTGATCCCAGGACCCTGGGATCATGACCTGAGCCGAAGGCAGAGGCTTTAACCCACTGAGCCACCCAGGCGCCCCTGTGATGTCAGTTTTTTTATTTATAGATGCTCTTCACATGGCTTGAGGAAGTTCCTTTCCATTCCTAGTGTTCTAAAAGTTTGTATCAGAAATAGGGATTGGTTTTTGCCTAATGCTTTTTCTGCATCTATTTGAAATGATCACTCTTGGGCGCCTGGGTGGCTCAGTGGGTTAAGCCGCTGCCTTCGGCTCAGGTCATGATCCCAGATCCTGGGTTCAAGCCCCACATCGGGCTTTCTGCTCAACAGGGAGCCTGCTTCCTCCTCTCTCTCTGCCTGCCTCTCTGCCTACTTGTGATTTCTCTCTGTCAAATAAATAAATAAAATCTTTAAAAAAAAAAAAAAAAGAAATGATCACTCTTTTTAAATCTGCTAATATGGTGAATTGCATGGGTTAACTTCTAAATGTTAAACTACCCTTGCATTGCTTGGGGCGGGGGGAAACTCAGTTGGTCATGTTGTGTTATTCTTTTTGTATATTTAATTTCATAAAATATTGTTTAACATTTTTGTGTCTACGTTCATAACAAATATGAGTTTGCAGTTTACTTGTAATGTCTTTTGTGGTTTTAGTACTAGCATAACCCTGGTTTCATAGAGTAAGTTCAGAATTTCTCTTTAAAATTCTGGGAGATTTTATGTAGAATTGGTACTATTTCTTTCTTAAAATTTTGTAGAATTCTTCAGTGAAGCCATCTGGGCCTGGAGTTTTCTTAGAGTTAGGGTTTTAACTACAAATTCATTTTCTTATTTTCATATAGATGTAGACCATTCGGATACAGATACATTCAGGTTATCGGTTTCTTCTTTAGTGAGCTTTGGTAGTTTCTGTTATTCAAAGTATTTGTCCATTTCATCTAAGTTGTTCGATTTACTGATATAAAGTCATTCATAACATATCCTTTTAATGATTATATGATGTGTAGAGATGTTCTGCCTCTCATTCCTGACATTGGGAATTTGTGTCTTCTTTTTTTCTTGATGAATCTAACTAGAGGTTTGGTAGTTTTATTGATTTTCTCAAAGAATAAACTTTTCATTTCATTGATGATATCTGTTGTTTTTCTTTCCTATTTCATCGATTTTGGTTCTTGTCTTTATAGAAGATGGAAGCTTAGGTCTTGAGTTGAGACCGTTTTTCTTTCTAACATGGTCATATATTATTATAATTTTCAAATACTGCTTTGGCTGCATGCCTCAAATTTAACAATGTTGAGGTTTTGTTTTTTTTTTTTTTAAGATTTTATTTATTTGACAGACAGAGATCACAAGGAGGCAGAGAGGCAGGCAGAGAGGAGGGGGGAAGCAGGGTCCCTGCTGAGCAGAAAGCCCAATGCGGGGCTCTATCCCAGGACCCTGAGATCATGACCTGAGCTGAAGGCAGAGGCTTAACCCATTGAGCCACCCAGGCGCCCCTACAATGTTGAGTTTTCATTTTCATTCTGTTCAAAGTACTTCCTAATTTACTTTTTAATTTCTTCTCCATGGGTTACTTAAAATTATGTTATTTAATTTCCAAATATTTGGGTATCTTAAAGATATCTTTATGTGGTTGATTTTCAATTTAATTCCACTGTGGTTAAAGAAGATACTTTGTATACTTTGAAACTTTGTAAATTTATTGAAACTTGTTATATGGCCCAGAATATGGTAAACCTTAATAAAATTTCCATGTACCATGAAAAGAATGCTCACTCTGCTGTTGTTGGGTAGAATGTAATATAAATATCAGGTAAGTTGGTTGACACTGTCATTCAGGTCTTCTGTAGCCTTATTGATTTCCTCTCCACTTTTTAATCAATTATTGAGAAAGAGGTGGTGAAATCCCTGACTATAGTTGTGGGTTTCTGTATTTCTTTTTTAATTTATACCAATCTTTTTCAGAGCTCTAGTGGCATAATCAGTTAGTACATGGTACTTAAATCTAGTTTTTAATCATGTATTTTGAAGCTCTCTTATTAGGAGTATTACAATTTAGATTTGTTATGTCCTTTTGATAAAATGACCCTTTTATCATTATAAAATTACTTTCTTCAATCCTGTTAACATCCTTTGATTTGAAATCTGTTTCATTATAGAACTCTTCAGGTTTTCTATTTCTTCTTGAAATTATTTTGGTTACGAAATTGTTCCTTTCATTGAAACATTCAAAATTGACAATGTTATACATAATAACCTCATATTCTTTTTAAAATATATGCAGTATCTATAAGATGTACCCTTTTTTTTAAGATGTACCCTTTTATCAATCAGATTTATTAATTTATGTCTTTGTTTTTCTCAATCAGTTTCCAAAGTAGTTTATCAATTAGTCTAAAAAAGAACTAGTTTTTGTGGGGTTTTTTTTATTCTCTATGTTATATATTTCTTTTCTATTTTGTTGAGTTATGTTATCTTTTCCTTCTTTCCAGTCACATATGTTATTTTATTGTTCTTGACTTCTTTTATCTTTCTAATATATATATTTAGCTGTAAGTTCTTCTTTGAGGATTATTTTAACTGCTTTCATAGTTTTTGCTCTCAGCATTAATTTAAAACTTTTTCTAATTTGCCCTATAATTTCTTTTTGTCTCATGACTTACTTGCTGGACATTATGTATGAAAAGTTATATGTAGGAATCTGAACCTCGTGGTAAAAGCACTTTTTTCCAAAGAGAACTTTGTGTTTATTTCTGTAGGAAACCAGAGGCCTACCAGCCTCGACTAACTTAAGCCAAGCTCAAATCTTGACTTCAGGTTATATTTCTTCAAGGACCATTGCACTTCTGGATCACCTTCATCTCAGAGGGAAGCCCTTTGTTGGCCCTTATTCGGATCCTGAGCTTTGAGTTCTCTCTTTCAGGACCTTTGAAGCTGTCACAAGAAAAGTTCTCACTCTCCAGGATCTTACAATGACTTCAGGGCAAAAATGACTACTATACTCCCCACAACTGAGGCTTCTTACTTCCCCTTTACTTTGGCCTATTAATTCCTACTTTATTCACTCCTCGACAGTTATAATTTTTTTTCAAATTTTTGATGTGCATTTTTAGTTGTGCCCAGTAGGAGGGTTGAACCAAAAGACATGTATTGCTGTTCCTTAAAACAAGAAGTCTTCTTATATAATAAACTTTAACAGAGGAATACATCTATATACAGCATAGATTTATCTTCACTAATATCAGTAGTTCAATATTGTTCCATCAATTTCAATCATCACAGTCTCCAGCTGTTGACATATTCAGCCACTGGCTTCTGCATGTGTTAAATATCACTTCCTTCTGAAGGTCATAATCCTTCCTTGGAATAAGCACATAGATCTAAGGCTTCTATAACTCTTCTTGGACTTAGAGCTCTTATAACCTTTTTTAATTTTTAAATTACAGAGTCTATTTACTTCCTAGAACAACAAAACAGCCCTTCTCTTTCCTCTTCCAGTTGATCAGGGGAAGTAATTTAGTTGACCTCTCTCGTTCTGCAGCTCTCAGCTGCCCTTCAGCAGAGCAAGGAAGCAGCATGTAGTGTCTGTCTTCACAGATGTTGCATAAAATCTTTTGACTGTCTTCTTCCTGTCATAAATCTTCCTAACTTGACAGAACAATCTCATGTGTTATGAGTTGGTTGTTATCTGGAGCAGCAAGACAATAAAGGCTACACAGTATTTTTTTTTAAAGATTTTATTTATTTATTTGACAGACAGAGATCACAAGTAGGCAGAGAGGCAGGCAGAGAGAGAAGAGAGGAGGAAGCAGGCTCCCCGCTGAGCAGAGAGCCCAATGCGGGGCTGAATCCCAGGACCCTGGGATCATGACCTGAGCTGAAGGCAGAGGCTTTAACCCACTGAGCCACCCAGGTGCCCCAAGGCTACACAGTATTCAAAAATTACTATCTTGGTGTTTAACCAAGGGTTTAAAATGGCTTCACCAAATGTAAATAATATCTCACTATGTGCTCTGTCTACAAATGCAAATATTTGATAATTAGATTTTTATGGGAAGACTAAAACTAACCTCTCTTTACTTTCATGTATGTCCCTTTATTTAGCTACAATATTTCTTATTCATTTTATATTCAACTTTCATAGAAAATATAAGGGGCTGGATATGCATATTGATTATATTATACCTTTGGTTTAGGAAGAAATAAAGGTAAAAAAGACACTGTCTCCTCCAAAAGCATGCTCCACTGCTGACTCTTGTTCTTCAGAGGTGATGAGTACCAAGACTGACGTCAAAGAGAATACTGTTTGCATACCAAATTATCTGGACCAGGAAATCAAAGTAAGAGGCAGGTTTCTTAAGTCCATAACTTGGGAAGAGCATGAACATACAAAACATCACATTACTAACATCCTTCAGATTCTTTAGTGGTTCCCTTAACAACCGAATTGATTTAAAACCCCTTAGCCTGAAATCCAAGGCCTACTTCAATTATTTCCAGTCACTGTTACAGAAGCACAACCCTTGGTTTAGACATAAGGAAGAACTTGGCATTTGCCAAACACTCGGCCCTTTCTCCCCATGTTTTTCTTTATCATCTTCCTAGTGCTTGAGAGGCACTACTGGCTGTTACCTATACATTTTCTTCCCGTATTTTAAGGCAGAGATTCCTCCAATCAACTTCCATCTCTCCATCTTATCTGTGGAAAACTGTTTCCTCAAACCTACTCTGCCTGGGGTTATAAACTCAGTTGTATTTACAGTTGTGTCATATCAGAGTACTGGAAGGTTCTCTCCAACCACGGTTATTTCTGAGAATGACATAAAATGAAGAATGAATCAATCAGCTGATGTTTGCTTTCCTCCTTTGTTTTCCTTCTTTAGATCCTTTTGGTAACCTCCACATTGCTTCACAGTAAGACCCACTGCAACGAATTAAGGGTGAAAATGTTGTAATGATGACTTTGATGGCAGTTTTAAATGAGTCCTCTGTAGTAGCAATTACAAATAGAAGAGCATATTATAAGGATTGTTCTTGAATAATCCCGATAAGGAACTACTTTAAAAGTAAAGCATAACAGTGGTGTTGGGTATAATTATGCTGATGATTAAAATTAGGAAAATAAAAGGAAAGGAGAAGAGAAGAGAGTATCTGTAGACAAGAGTTGTGGTTATACATGCGTTCCTGATGATTCTGGTGAAAGACTGCTGATTATATAGAGTCTTCAGAATCACTGTCCATCTTACTGCTACACTCTGGCACCACTGCTTCCCTATAAGAAATCTCTTCTCCCTAATCCTTTCAGTGGTCACCGTCTTCTCATTAAGGTCTCAGTTAAAATATCACACAGAAATATTTTCTCTGACCACCCAGTCTAAAGCAGCTACCTACTTACCCTCTATCCTATTACCCTCTGTTCTTCTTTGCATAGCATATGTCCTATTTGATATGTTCGTATTTATTTGTTTCAATAATGTCTCTGCCTCTCACTCCACTCACACTAAAATTTAAGTCTTATGGGATCTCATACTCCTCTGTCTTGGTTCCTGCTTTATCTTCCTATGCCTAGATAAGTGCTAGGCCTCTAGTAATCATTAATAAGCATTTACTGAATGTTGAATACAAAACTTAAAAAGAAAAGTTTTACCAAGGTCAGAATGGAACTGTAGGCAATCAGTTAACTGACATAGGTCCTGCCTTTTATATGTCATCTGATATGCTCACATCTGATAAACACAACCAAACCATAAACTGAGTGTAGGCTGTTTTACTTCCTTAGGCACATCAATAATGGGCCAGCAACATGATCCTACAGAACTGGACTTTGGGCATCTATAAAAGAGCCCTCCTCTCAAAAGCATCTTCTACCTCACAGATATTGACTTAACTGGACATTAATACAAAATCCACTAAAATGTAAACTCTTTGACGGAAGGGATCCTTTCTATCTTCTTCACAACTCATTCATCAGCACTCATTGCTTTGCTTGAAAACTATTAACTGCTGCGTACACAGCATGGCGTTTTATCAAATAGTTGGTGGCTATTTGTGAAATAAATGAAAACAGAGGGGGTCAAGTGAGAATATAAGTCTTACCAAATTCTTTTGGCTTGTATAAATGAGTCCTAAAAATAGATCCATTTTGATGGTATTCCAACCTTTCATACTTTCTACAAAAAAATCTGAACTATCTTTCTATTTCCTGTAATCCAGGCTGGTAATTCTGAATAGCTGTGAAGGCAAGACATGTTTGTGCAGGGGTGTGTATGAAAGAGTATATGGTTTCACAATTATTACTTTAAAGGAAAAGAAAAACAGAATTCTGTGTCTCCTGATATCTTGTCTTTAGACTTCCTCTCAAAAATCTTGAATTTACAGAAATAATAGTCTCTTTACTGTTGACATGGAAAGTCTGCCAAATACTTTCATTTATTTTGTTATCAATGACAAAATACCAGAGTTTGGGAATACTGTTCATTCCTTTATTCACATAGCTTATGAGAGGGATTGTACAGGCATTGTAAGAACATTTAGGAGATTTTGGAGCTGAAAGATTCTTCAAAGGGAAAGAAACCTAAAGAATATTTAAGATATAATTAAAAGATGAAGAGAAGTATGGAAGAGACCATTCCCAGAAAAGAGACCTTCATATCTAAAGGCTAAGAAGTGAGAGCACTGTTCATTCAAGAAACTAAAAACATTAAGGCTGATTCAGAGAGTGCAAGGAGAAGGCTTCAAGGGTTGAGGCTGGAGACTTATGCATAGACCAGAAATAAGTGTTCAGATTCATCTGAAGTGCTGTGGGAAGCTAGTGAAGAATTTTAAACACTGACTTATACTGAAATCACTTTGTAAGTATAAGAATTACACGGCCAGATTTGTACTTTAGAAAAATCACTCTAGATACAATATGCAGAATTAATATGGAAGGTGGAGGCAAAATGGCAGGGAAGGCGCTCTGCTTCCAAATGTTAGATTAGGTCCAAGATTTAGCTTCCTGCTGTAAACAACTATACATAACTGGGAAAACACATGAAGAAACTGTTTTCAGGCATCAGGCAACAGACAGTACAGATGTATGACCGTTCAGAGAGGAGAAACAATTGGGATGATTTCCACATTCAACCTAGATTTCAGCCTGGGACACCTTCCTCATGGTGGCACAGAGAAGTGGAGCCCAAACAGAGAGTAGCAGCTTGCTTTGCTCAGGAGAGAAAACAGAGTTTAGAGTTTGGGAATTCTGAGGTGGCTGGAATTCACAAAGAAGATTCAGAAGAGAAGATGAATCTGCGGAGAGAATGAGCTCCAGAAATCTGTAGAGGGCTCCATGAGTCTTCAGTTCAGCATAAATTGCGCATGCACAGGAAGAGAGTCTGAGACCTGGTGGAAGAGAGCTAACCAGAGGCAGCACATCGCTTAGAGATGCAGGCATCGTGAGGTGCCAGACTGGAGAGACCTTGCTGAACACACCAGGAATTCCACTGAAACCCCAGGAAGAGAAGAGGGTACTCTAGCCCTACAGGAGACACTACTCTAGATCTATCATCTCAAATCCTAAAATCAAGTTTCAGCAGATCAAATCCTCCTGCCTATATATTGAATTACCTTCCAGAAAAAAAACCTCAAGTGAAAAGAATTCAGGAGAGTTCCTTAAACGACCTATTCTACTTCCTCTCACTAAAGGGATAATTATATTCTCTCAAAGTTGATCACTGAGCGATCTGTAAGTTAAAAGAAGATGGGAGCAATGTGTAACCACCATTTTGATGAAAAAACCATTAAAGGCAAAGTAGCTTTGGGAATCTTTTGAAAAAAAGAAAAAATTTCAGGCAGACTAGGGAAAAGAATATTGCAGAGTAGCTTAAGCAAGAATTGATGATAGTTTAGACAAGGTCAGGGCTGTAGGGATAAAAAGGAATGGAGAAATTTGAGAAATATCGAGAAGGAAGCATTTACTGAATTGTTGTCCAGCAACATATTGTAGATGCAAGGGAGTTGTCCAAGATGGATCTCTGGGTCTGGCTTGGACATCTCTTCAGTGTATGCAAATGCTATCCACCAAGACAGGGGGATGAGGAGGAACCAATTGGAGCAGGTTCTAGAAAGAGAAAGATGGGTTTAGTTTTAGATAATCTGGGTTCTTTATATTATATAATATTGTAATTATTATTATAAATTATAAATATTATAAATATATATATAATATATATATATATATATACGACTGAATTTCAGATGGGTCTAAATTCTAAGAATAGACACAATTTAAGATCAAACTGAAATCATCATTACCCATGCTTCATGTTTGTATGTTGATGTTTATTATAGTCCATTTTTATTACAGTTATTTCATATATTTATCTCCTCTATCATCCGCACATCAGCCCTTAGCTTCAGATAAAAAATGTCAAGGAGGGATTCTGATTGACAAAAGGGAATTATATCCCCTCCACCCCCAATGAGCCAACCACTGTGTTCAGGGAACTGAGGAAAAATGACTCCAGCTAGATTCATGCACTACAGAGAAGAGCAGTGCAGTCATGGACAGTCTAGACAGTTATGGAAAATTTCAGTTAGAACCCCTGGTACAGGGGCACCTGGGTGGCTCAGTCATTAAGCATCTGCCTTCGACTCAGGTCATGATCCCAGGGTCATGGGTTCAAGCCCCACATTGGGCTCCTTTCTTGGGAAGCCTGCTTCTCCCTCTCCCACTCCCCCTGCTTGTGTTCCCTCTCTCCCTGTGTCTCTCTGTCAAATAAATAAAATCTTAAAACAAACAAACAAACAATAATTAAAAAAAAGAAAAAAAAATACAACCCTGGTACAGCGGGGAAAGATCCATTCCCAAAAGAAAAAAGTGAATCTTGCTTCCAGAAAATGTGGGTACTGAGCAGACAAAACCAGAGGAATGCTGTATCACCTTCCCCAAACTGTTGCTTGTGTTGGAGAGGTTTTAAGATTCCACTGTGTACTATTTGACATGGGGCTCCCAGGCTAACATCCCAACTGACTTAACTGAGCGTCATGTGCAGAGTGACTTTTGGGAAGATGAGATCGTGGAGGAGGTAAAGGAAGTCTTAGAGCCCGTGTGCCATTTATTTGCTCACTGTGTGACTCTAATACTCTCTGTCAGATTCTGGCGAAGCTCTGTAACATTTTACGCACTGATTCCCTGGCCGAAGTTCTACAGTGGCTGCTTCACGCAAGCTCAAAAGGTGAGATTAAAAGAAACATTTGCAAACGCTGAGCTCAGTGCCTTTTCAGAAAATTGGAATGTGCCAATATCTGAAGTTTTCGACCTTGGCTTTGCAAACATACTGCTCCACTCTTACTTCCCTACTGATTCAGTATCCGAGTCTCTGCAGCCCTCTCTGACTGCATTCAACTGGTCATTCGATGACCCCAAATTTGGCATGTCCCAATTGAAACTTCTTGGGGTGATGTGAAGGGCTTGTGTCCAGGGTTGGTTTGTGCTGCTTCTCAAGGTCTACACAACCAGGGGTCTCCCTGAGCATATTTTCTGGCTGGCTGTGAACCTTGAGCGCAGAGTCTATTTCCTTTCTCTGATATGATGGCGGGAGCACGGCCTTCCAAGTTCTGGAGTAACAGCCTTGCCAACTCCTCCACCCAAACCGTCAGTTCAGTCCTCTCCCAGGCTCCTTTGGGGCCTTTGTGGACTGTTCCATAGACGCATGCGCCAACCCCAGGGGGGCAACCGTAACTGGCAGAGTAGCTGTCCTGAGACCTAACTGGTCCTCAGACTGACTGAGGCAAAACTTCGGAGGTGGGTGGAGTCCGAGGATTTTTATTTCTAACAAGTTCCCAAGTGATACTGATAATGCTGGTCTGGGGGCCACTCTTTGAGAATTTGCACTAATAAGGTTAGGAAATATCAGCGTGTTAGGGATAGACTAATACTTTTGAATAGGGAGCATTTTGGAAATAGTCCTTTACCTAGAAATTCAAGACTACTTGGCAAGCAATTAAGAAGTATTTGGGGGTAAGGAGTCTTTACTTCTTATACTTTTTTTTTCCTTTTTAAGAATGTAACTTTAAAAAATATATACAAATAATAAGTGCTTACTGCTGGGGGTGGGAGGGGGGAACCCAGATGAACCAGGAAAAATACAAGAAAAGTAAAACAATAATGAATCAAATCATCATAAACATCATTTCAGTGATGACTTCGGTATCTATCTTTACAGATATGCTTGTAACTATTTATTATTTATCAGTCTATATTTTAATGAGGTCATATTGGGCTTACTATTTTGAATAGATATGCTTTCTTTTTTTATTTGGCAACAACCTGAGATTTTGTACTCAATATTTAGGTTATTCCATTGCCATTTGGGGACAAGTCCTTCAGTGAGTTAACTACTTGGGGCAGTCCATAATATCACAGGTCCACAGATATCACGGTAATGTGACCTAACTTGTCCACAGAAACCTTGACTCACAAATGAATGCCCACTCAGCAAACATATCACCAGCCTTTCACACTACAGTGCCAGATAAAATAACGAATCCTGTGTTTCTAGCCAACGTGATAATTATGACCTTCATGCCTACCCCCCCTTTTTTTTTTAATCAGAGAAAGAGTGGGTCTCAGCTTTGATTCATGCTGAACTGGCTGAAATAAACCTGTTGGCCCAACGAAGAAACATCACAGCAAACCTAGCAGCAGGGACTAGGAAGCCACCCAAAGTTAAATCTCCCCCAAATTCACCTGCAAAATTGCAAGTGATGACCAGAACGAGGCAAGAACATCAACCCTCCAGGTAATTAGATATAATGGCTATTTACAGGGCATGTGGTACAGAAAGACTTTTAATTTTCTTTTCATTATCTCTCAACACTAAACATGCTGATGTTTTCAGTCTATTCTTTATTCAGTAAATGGCCACAATGTGTATTTGTTTTCTTTCACTTTCATAAATATGATATGAGAATCATTCTAAATCCTATTGTAGCCATCCAGACATCTAAGAAAATGTTGGTTTTTTTCATTTGATCTAAACATGAAAGCAATAAAGGACACCAAAATTGTATTATATATTTTATTAAAAGCATCTCACACAAGTATCACTTTTCTTGTGTAGCACAATGCTAGATTAAAAAAATTGCTTCACTTAATTTTCTCTGGCACACTCCTGGAGGCTGCTAGGGGGAAAATAAGTATTATAGGAATTGGGAATTATTGTAGTATAAATTTTTCTTAAATGTTATTATTTCAATGATAGAAGAAAATACATATGCATACACAATGTGGTGAAAATGTAATAAGATGTTACTTAAGTCGGAAGAAAAAATCTTGTTGCTTTAAAATTAAAAGTTAGGTAAAGCTTAAATCAAGAGAAATTAAATATTCAAAACCCAAGTCACTTAAAAAATCACTGAGACAGAGTTTTGTGTTGCAATTTGTCTCCACCTGAAAGTTTCCATAAAATTGGAAACTGGGAAATAGGGTTAGTCTCTCTATGTTAGTGAATAATGTATGATACTGTTTAGATGTTTACTCAAAGTCAGAAGAATCTTTCATTGGAAAGTATACTTAATACTGTCTGCATTGAAAAACAAAGAATCGGGAGAGAATGTTCAAAATATATATGTACTTAGCTTATTGATGATAGTGCAGTCAGTAGAAAGTACTTGTTTATACCTGTGAATTTCATTTTCTCTTTCTCTAATTATTTAGAGTATCGAGTCAAGGATCTGAAGGAAATAAGGAAGTGCCAAAAGGTTAAGTACAGTTTGTGATAATTACTGAATTGGTATAGGGAAACCAGTAAGTATTTAAATCTTTAGGGATACAGACAAGGATCTGTGGTTTTAATTTTTTTTTTTTATTTGTTTATTTGACAGAGAGCTAGAGAGAGAGCACAAGTAAGCAGAGCGGCAGGGAGAGGGGGAGAGAGAGAAGCAGGCTCTCCGCTGAGCAGGGAGCCCAATGCGGGGCTCGATCCCAGGACCCTGGAATCATGACCCGAGCCGAAGGCAGCCGCTTAACCAACTGAGCCACTCGGGCGCCCCGGATCTGTGGTTTTAAAGGCAGTAAAATTCAATATTGATTTCTAATTACATTTAAGGGACAGTGTCTGCTGAATTTCTTACTGAGATAAATTTGACATAAACTTAACTTTGTTTTGCAAGGCCAAGTGCCTCATCAGAGACCAATGGATCCTCTTTTAGAAGTAAGATAACAGAGTAGCAGGAAGTGTAGGTTTGGTCACGCCAATCCAGTGACAGGAGAAGCTCTGCACTGACCTAACAAAAGGACAATGATCTCAGAGTTTGGTTCTTCATAGCTTTTAACTATCAAGCTCAACTATTTTAATTAGAAACCAAGTCGATCACAGAAAACAGTAAAATGGCAATTGGCTGCAAGCAGATGTTCTACGAGACAGGTGAAGTATGAGAGAGAGGAGCAGTTTGTGTCCCCATCAGAAACCCAGCCACATTCCACAATTTGAACCAAGAAGAAATAAGAATTGTAGAATGTCCTACTTTGGTCCAGAATAGACCAAGTGAAACATCCCTGTGGGTTTGGCAGCTCCTAACTTTAAAACATGTGTGACAAAAATGACCATAGAACAACAACTAGGAAGTAGGTCTTTAAGCCTGAAACAAAAGTCTATCCTGATGTTTTTACAAGTTTCTCTTATCCAGGGAATCACATGGTAATCAATTAGAGTTCTTTGAGGTCACTCTAAGCCCCAGCAGCTTTTGAGGGGGTTAACCAAACCCAAAAGAGGCTATCTGTGCTTACAGGCAATAAGAAATACAGTAGAGAAGTTAGAAAATACTCCCTTAACTCTGACACACCAACGATAGTCTGTCGTGTCTGACTTCCACCAAACTCCTCACCCAAGACGACAAAATCATGGCAGGGATGGTTTCCATTACTCAATTCTATGTCTTACCTGTTGGCCCCTGTCTAGATATTTGGAGAAGTTTTGTATAAGAAGCCCCAGTCAGGCGCCTGGGTGGTTCAGTGGGTTAAGCCTCTGCCTTCGGCTCAGGTCATGATTCCAGGGTTCTGGGATCCAGCCCCGCATCGGACTCTCTGCTCAGCGGTGAGCCTGCTTCCTCCTCTCTCTCTGCCTGTCTCTCTGCCTACTTGTGATCTCTGTCTTTCAAATAAATAAATCTTTAAAAAAAAAAAAAAAAGCCCCAATCACACTTCTTATTCTCCAGTGGTGATAGCACCTCTCCAAATCCTAATTCCTGCTTGGGTCTGACCTTATAGGTCTTGCAAAGCTCTTATAATTATCTTGTTTTAATCTGTTTGTCTATTTTATTTTTTGTCTATCAAGACCATAGATCCTTTTCCTTTCTCTCACTTGTCCCATCCCTGCCTGTCACCTTTACAGATCAGCAGTTCTAATTCATTCCTTCCAAAATAATGTTTGATTTTAAGAGGATAGAACATATCCTACATGTTATAGGACCAATAACGCATTAAAAATGTGCTGGTGCTGAGAAAGATAAGTATAGATTCTTTTATGAATTTGGGGTATATTTGATTCACCTAAACATTATATATTTTTTGTAAGTCATTTGCTACTAAAACGTGGCAGAGGCTATATTTGATGTCTCAATTTTGGTCTTATTTTGTTTTTTTTCTTTTGTTTTGTTTTTTTTCTATTTCAGAGGCTGAGGACAGGCCTCCATTGTTTATAAGAAGAAATAATATGAAAATGCCCATTGCAGAATATTTCAGCAAACCAAAATCTCCTCCCAAGCCTAAAATTCAGGAAAACATATCAACAAAACCAATGTCTGCAAGGAGTATGCAACAAGGATTCAAACTCTCTCCCCAGAGAGCATTTTATCCTTAAACATTCCAAAGGTAGAAATTCTAGACTGAGTTATTTCTTTTACAGACATGAGCTTCACTCCATAACAACATCAAATTATTTTTAAAAAATATTTCAGTATCAGAGAATCAATAGTTGGTGGCACATGTAAATCTCAAAGCACCTGTATATAACACTACTAAATAAATAATAATGGAGACAGTATTTCTATTTGTAGTTAATCTGGTACCATGTGTAAAAGAAGTATGTTTACTTATATGCTACATTTCTAGTCTTGCACTGATTGTATTTGTACAATTGTATTTGAGTCATAAGGTCCTGATTCTAGAAAAGCCATCCATAACAGAATTATGCAGCTGCAGTTTGATGCGCATCCCAAACTCTTAAAAGAGAAAAATAAAAACAAAAACAAACACAGAATTTTAACATCTGAGCTAATTTTCACAGTCTACCATGTTTCAGTGCTGTTAGAACACTGAATGGATTCTGTAGTGATATGGAAAAATACTGGCCTTGTCCCAAAAAAAGATACAAAAATTATCACTAATTTATGAGCCAGAGAGGAACTAGTTTCTACTCTTTGCTAATTGTGATATTAACAAATTTCCTAATACTTAGCTTTTTTGTATTTTTAAAATAAACCACTCTTGGGCCATAGCTATTATTCTTTCAGTGTATTTCTGGATTCTGTCTACCAACTAGCCAATCTTCTAGAATGTTTGCGACGATATTCAAGAGATACTATAAATTTTGTGTATGTGTGCATGGGTGTGTGCAATACTTTTTTTCTTTTTTTAGAGAAGGAGTGCGGGGAGAGGCTGAGGGAGAGAGAGAATATTTAAACAGACTCTGTGCTGAAAGTGGAGCCTGACATGGGGCTTGACTCATGACCCAGAGATCATGACCTGATCCAAAATCAAGAGTTGGATGCTTAACCATTGGTGCCACCCAGGCACCCCATGTCTGTGAAAACTTAATGACAACATTTATATCACACTTAATTGTGTGTCAGGAATCATTCTAAACACTTTGGATATAGTAACATTTAATTTTCATGATAACTATTTGACATAAATACTATTGCTATTCCCCCTTTTTTTAATAAGAAAACTGAGGTGCTGAGAGTTGTACTCATCGGGATAGGACAAATCGTTGTAATAAATGTCATCTTCCAAATACAGTAGAGGATTATTTCTCATGTAAGAGTTCAAAGTGTGTGCTTTGATGTAGTGCTCAATGGTTCATTCGTTGCATATAACACCCAGTGCTCATTGCAACACATGCCCTCCTTAATACCCATCACCTGGTTTAAACTAACCATGTACTATATGTTGGCTGACTGAACATAATAACAAAAAATAAATGAATAAACCCAACAGAGTGTGTGTTTTTAGTCAGCAGGTGATTTTGCTTCACTTGGTGATTCAGAGACCGGGGATCCTTCTATCTTGTGCCTTAACCATCACCCAAGGTATCACTATCAACTGCATCCTGCTGGCAAAAGAGAGGGAAAGGGAAGTGGAGGAAAGTCTTGACCTCCTCTGGATGCTGTAATAAATTACCACACACTTAGTGGCTTAAATCAACACAAATTTAATCTCTTGCATATCTGGGACAGGGGCCTGAAATGGGTCCCATTGGGCTAAAATCAAGGTGTTGGCAGGGGTCTATTCCTTTTGGAGGCTTTAAGTGAGAATCTGTTTCTTTGCTTGTTGCAACTTCTAGAAGTTACCCACACTCCTTGACTCATGGCTCCCTTCTATCTTTAGAGCGAACAATGGCCAGTGGAGTCTTTCTTTTTTTTCTTTTTTTTTTTTTAATTTTATTTTTTATAAACATATATTTTTATCCCCAGGGGTACAGGTCTGTGAATTGCCAGGTTTACACACTTCACAGCACTCACCATA